GCGTAAGCAGTAGCAAGAAAGTAAAAACATAAAGCATGTTTAGTGTAGGTGTACGATACACTAACATTAACATAATTCGTATGTTATGTATATCATACAAAAATGTCAATATTTTAAGAATTTCAACAATCTCATACAAACGCCATTTCAATACCCGCTGATTGGAGGGGGCAACAGTCACCGACGCACAACAGAATAAATTGCGAAATATGGGATATTTTATACAATGAATTAATTTATTTTCTAACTTTGTAAATATACAATAGTCAGATTCGCTATATAGCTTTATACAATTATGGGTTCCAGCAATGCACTTTCTTGTATCTCCCTACCATGCTAATCCTTTCACCTTTGTCCACTAATATCCACTTAACATTCCACCTTTCCCACAATCTTCCTTCGTCAAAAACCCGACATCTCTGCAATACATGTTACTTCCTGTTCCATCTGCTAAAACATACATTTTCCTCCCTAGTTAAGCAATATCTACGGCGCTGGTTTCATTTCATAACCAGTGTCTGGCTTTCAACATATTTTGACAAAGACGAGGAGCGAAGTTAATGAAAACTTTTATAGCCACTGTTTTAACTGAAAAAAAAGGTGTAAACAAATTTAAAAGCTACGTATATTTCACGCAAGAGTACGCGAAAACTACTCACATTTTATAGAAACTGTATACGGCCTTTTTTCAAGATGTCTTTAAAGAACCAAAGACAAACTTGAATTTTAAAACAATTGGGCTCTTTTTTAAGAAAATTTTGAAAATGTTGTTTCGGCTTCATGTAAACTCACCATCAAACTCACAGGACCTTGAGTTCCTTCAGATCGATCCCAAAGTATTTTGTAAAAAATCGAGTGAACAGTTTACGCGCTAGCATTGAACAGGGACGTACGGTCAGAGGTTTTGTCGTCGATATTTTGGTTTCAAGGACCCATAAAACACGTATTCTGGAAACACGTGTGAGAGGAAGTAATTTACTTCATATATGAACACGATTTATCCACTTTATTGTCACGAGGGCTGGTAATCAGAATTTTCCTGTCGATAAATCGCTATTTTTTCTTGCAGCATTACATCATTTTCTCTACACTGTGAAAGCAGTAGTTTGCGAAAAAGTGAAAATTGGAGTCATTTGCGAGAAAACATTGAAACATTTCCTAAAACTTGATGTAAAGTACGTCTAAAAATCAAAATATCGGTTTTGAAATTGTAGGAGTTCCAATTCGTTCTGATCGGTCGGGGAATATTAATTTAGGAGAAAATCGTACGTAGTTAGATGGGTCGGACTGACTAATGAACTGCCTGCTCGCTAGACAGACGATTTATCGGCAATCGACTTTTTGGAACCAAGATATAAAACACTTTAAAGTACAAATCACGGACTTTGACTACACAACTTGTTAGAAGTGATTTACTACATAAGATGTATTCACTTTTCCATTACGCCAATACTGTACGACAATATTGTCAAAACCAGTCGATTTTTCCTGTACTTTTGAAATACTTTCTCTCTTCGAGAGAGTAAAAATTGAGATCTTTGTTAATACCCTGCATTAAATAACAACTCTCTTACGTATTTACCTTGATTATGATTGCCATATAACTAACTGATACATAATCTTATTATTATTATTATTAATATTATTATTATTAATATTATTATTATTATTAATATTATTATTAGTAGTAGTAGTATAGCTCATTTGTTAGATAATGATAAGCAGATAGTCAAATAAAATGTTAAGATAAACATGAATTGAAGTATACTTACCTCGCACGATCAAATAGTATCTCTGCTTTTTCTTTCCGCACATGCAGTCCAGTAATAGTTCGTGATCTGTTTTAGCAGCCACTTTCGTAAAGCCTCGACGAGGAGCGAATGTCCAATTTGTGAGATTTTTCGGAGCGCCCCTTATTTTCAGGACGAAAGAGAGATTCTTGGACGACGGTCGACAGCCCACAGTCACAGTTTGCCCCTCGACGGTCGAAATAGTAATTTGAGGTTGGGGCTCCACGATGGGCAAATCAGGATCTAAAATATAAACGTATTAATCATTATTAAGGGGCGGATTTTGATGACTTACAACATCGTCAATAATGATCCAAAATGTTTTTAAAATGCCGGGTAACCGAGATCGCTAACGCAGCAGTGTTGTGGCGATCTCGGATCGAAGGATCGCGGGTTCGAAATCCGCCTCTGGGATGGATGTATTTGTAGTCGTCCTTTCAACCCTCATCATCATCCTATCACTTCATTAAAGCAGTATTAATAATGCCCTGCTCAAGAAGGAGGCCCTTGCCCTCAATGGGATGTGCAGTTGGCTAATAAAAAAAAAAACGTAAAAAATGTGATGTTCGGATGAACAACTCATGTTGTGGGATACCTTACTGATATAATCGAGGCTTCTATTCGTTCAAGTGGACTCAGCTTGCAAAGTTTTCGTTTGGACTGTGCTTTACCAGAAAATCTCTACGTTTAGTTATCCCGAAATCGGCTGAACCGCCAATGATGCCGACAGGCGTCACAGGAAGCCTAGATTACATACACACAATGATTGTCATTACAATTTCTGAGCGAAGAAATCTAATAGCCTACCAGTCCACAGGAATTTTGTGGAGGACATTTGTTGCATCTTGTAAATATGTTTGAAGCAAGTACCGTTAAAATGACATTAAAATAGATTAAATCAGCAAAAAATGTATTAAAATGAAAGAAAAGTGCAAAAAATGACTTATTGGTTGAAATCGTCGAAAAATGCAACAAAATTACTCATAAAAATGTGTCATTTCCTTCTTTCACAACATAAAATGAATTTATACACTAAATGGCATTTTTAAAGTGACATTTCATTAAAGAAATAAGTGACATTTCATTAAAATCCGCCCCCTAATCATTATAAACTTCGTGGATTAGGCTTTATTCTGTTCCTAATAGATCTCTCGATCTACCTGCTAAACATTGCTGTAAAAATAATGTATTAATTTATATGTAGCTAGATAGATAATGATTATAATTATTATAATAATTATTATTATTAATATATGAAAATTGATTAAATAATGAAAATAATTTAATCCATTTCCAGTCAGTTCGAGCCGGGCAAATTTACATTAGATTAATAAAATACAGTGAATGGTGGACGGGAGTCGTAAATCTGTGAAAAAATTCTCTACCAATGAGTGATATGAATATACACTGGAAGGATGGGGGGGATTTAGATGGAGAATCGGTTTATACTCTCCGTACTGAATAAGAAGTGAAAACAAAGACAAGGTATCGTGAAGTAATAGTATGAGGGAAGTGTAAGGTCTCAGTGTATGAAGTTAGGTTAGAGCTATATCAAAAGACCTCTGGTTGAGCTGAGTGTGATCCATTACAAGAAGAGATGAGTATTCTGAACAGTATAAAACGAAATAGATAATGAGTAACGAAAGTACTTACTGAGAAACTAACATTGACGGAACGATGGAATTGAATTGGTTGGTAAGACTTAATACATAATATATTCAGGCGAATTAAATTAATATGGGAGAAAGAAGAAAGGAAAACTGAAGAGTGGAAAGTTGCAGAAGAGGTGGCCTAAAACATAGCCAAAAATGGTCAATAAAATGTGCTTAAAATGTTTTAAAACTGACCTAAAAGCAAATAATAATGACATAAACAATTGATCAAAATCAGATGAACAAAAAGTACTGATGTAATCGAGACTTTCACCTTTCGTTTAAGTGAACTCAGCTTGCAAACTTTTGGTTTAGACCGTTTTTTACCAGGAAATCTGTCTTTAATTATCGCGAAATTGGCCGACGATGGCGCTCACAGGAACGTTAGATTGCATACTCACAACGGCTGACATTACAATTTCTGAGCGAAGAAATAGAATAGACTACGGAATAGTTTTGTGGAGCACATTTGTTGCATCGAGTAAATATTATTTGTATATTATTTATTACTATCATATTATATATTATATTATTTGTAGCAAGTACCATTAACATTATATTAAAATCGATTAAATCAACAAAAAATACTTTAACTATTACGAAAAAAGGTAAAAAATTACTTATATTAGAAATCGTCGAAAATGCCACAAAAATATATAAATTGTTTTGTTGTTTTTCTTGTTGTTTTTTTTTTCAACATCTAGGTCTTTAGCGACCACTATTGCATTTAACCGTGAAGATGACGTATGATGATGATGATGATGATGATGATGATGATGATGATGATGAGTGTTGAAAGGACGAACACAAATACAACCATGCCCGAGACGGGACTCAAACCCGCGATCCTTCGGTCCGAGATCGCTACGGCACTACTGCCTTAGCGATCTCGGCGATCCGGACTGGTTCCTTTGCTTTTGTCATAACATAAAATTAATGTTATACTAAAAGGCATTCTTCTAAAGTGAAATAAAAGACATTCCATTAAAATCCTCTCCTTATTCGTAACACATGATGAACTCGGTCAATAGCCCCGGAGTTGGTTTTATTTCGATCTCGATCAGGAATCTTGATCAGGTTTTTTGTCCAGTTTCCCTGATACATTGAGCAAAAGCTAAGATGATCCCTTGTTTTGCTTCTGGACGTAAATGTAACTATGCGCACGTTTTATAGAACCCATTTTGCTTGTAGTGGTAGGAGTAGAGGTAAGGTTGAGTTACTATTTTGTTAGCAAAGCCGAAAAATTAAACCTGTAGATCGTTTACCGATGCAAAGAAGTTTTCTATAACTCGGCAACAAAAATGTCTAGTTTTTCAAATGTTGCTAATCTCACGCTTTTTTAAAATTTTATGTTTTATTTATTTATCCTTCACTTTTCACTTATCTTTCAACTATTTATAGTTGGAATGATGGGAAGGAATTCTGAAACTGAAGAAAACGTGCGCTGATGATTTTCTGCCCGATACGTCACATAGAGTTTTACCGTTTTTTGACTCAATAAACCCGACTCACCGTTGACGAAGAGGTACACGCACTTCTGCAAGTCGGTGTTGGCCACGAGCGTGACGTTGTCGAGCGTGGCGTAGACGGGGCTGCGCGCGCAGCAGTAGAGGTTGGCGAGGTTGCCGGTGACGTTGGCGGCGTACAGCACTCGGCGCGCGACGCCCGGGACGGGCCCGGGGCCGCTGGGTTCGGCGTCGGCCGCGAGGCGCGCGGCGTGCGACGAGTTGGAGGCGGCGGGCGCGACCACACCAGCGGCCGCGCCGTCGCCCGTCGCACGCCTAGCCGCAAGCCGTCGCCGGCCGTCCAGCGACAGCTGTCGCCCGCCGCGTGCCCCCGGGCAGGGCGAGCGCACGCTGCCGCTCCGCAGGTCCGGGCCCGGGCCGCCGGACTCCCACGCGTCGCGGCGCGGGCCACCCGGCGGGGCGGAGGTGGTGTGGGAGGTGTGGTGCTGCTGGCGCTGGAGCGGGCGCCGGCGGTCGGCGCGGCGGGCGTCGACGCGATGCTGCTGCCCCCTGCCGAGCAAACGAACGAGCCTGTGACTTGGGCAACGAGTTACAATACATAGTAATATCTGTCTGAGCCGGAATCGATCGGGACAAAAAAAATAAGGTTAAGGAAGGTTTCAGTTTTATGCATTGTTGTCAATGTTATGGCAATTGTGATATTGACGTTTCTTCCCTGGATGTAGTAAATCATATGACTTTAGTATAGTAATATCAAAATACATTAACATATAACGTAATTACGGAGGATATCTAAATATTAATGTGAATATTAATTGAATATTAAATGGATATTATACGCTCTTCAATGAGAGCTTCTAGGTTGAAAAATACACACCTTACTGGCTTTATTCGGACTGCTTGCTGACTCCTTCAACGCACAATGCGTTACAACCCAGAACTACAACTTTCTGATTCCATCGCCTGGCCTTAAGCAATGCGTATTTCGTCGAGGGGTTATGATTTTTCAACGCGAGGCAGGGAGATACGTGAGTAGATGCCATGACCGTACACCTTCCCACGATCAGATAGTCGGAAGGGAGGGAATACCCCTCCGGCGTACGCCCTGAGAGACAGGCGACCCCGAGGTCGAATTCTGCGTCGACAGCTGAAGCCGCTCTCCTTCAATATCTGGCTGCCCCGACTAAATCGCGTGTTACAGGGATGGAGAATTTAAAACAAGCTTGCAGATGTAGTCATTTCATTATGAACATCTCGCTTCTCTCTGCCAATTGCATTAAATTCATATTAATTCCGTTTTATAAAGACTTTCCCTTCGTCAGGACATTAAAAACCCTTCCGTTTCCGCGTTGTAGATGTTCCGTTTTTTGCTGTGTAAAATGCCATTTAACTTCAGAAGACGGATAACTTTTCCGGTTAAGGCAGGATTCCGGCTTCTACAGGTTCCGGTTTAGAGAGATTTTACTGTTCTACATAGTGGCTGAAACGCCTCCATCTTTGCAGCAAACAAAAACAATGTTTTTGGCCGTCAAAGCAGCGCCCTTTGGAAAAACAGTAATCTAGTATTCCGTTTAGCGCTGATTACGGCCGGGCGGGCGCAGGCCTCGCAGATTATAAATTCTCTTGCTCTGTGTTCTCACGACCTAACACCAATCATTTAAATACGAAATCACAATGTGTAAGGAGAAGGAATTAAGAAACTTTAAAAACACGTTGCTTTCTGCATCGGTTGTAGTCATACGAATGGAAGCTGTTGAAATTCTATTGTAGTTAGCATTACGTCTGAAAGTGAGTATTATTGCAAAAGGAATCAAACAAACAGATCACAAATAAGGCGGTAAACTTGAAAAATGTTTTTGTGATTGATGATTTCTATCTTTACAGTTATGTGCCGAAAATACTGAAGGCATTAGGAATCTAACCACTAATATAATTTTAAATACAAATAAACGAAAAGACACCAATGTCGAAATAATACCTTATACAAACAAAATGTCGATGTGTGTCGACTGTGAGAGAAGCCACAACCGCCTCTCTCGGCGGACGTGACCTTTTCACTGCCAATCGACAATCTTCACTCGTACTCCCTCGAAAGCACAGCGCTCATTCGGAATTTTGACCATGAACTGTGAAACTTTCATTCTTCCGTCTTCCCTTCCGTGTGAACTTCAGAAAAGAAACTGGTTGATCTCCAGTACTATGAAAATTCAAAAGTTTGAATGATAAAAAGCATCCACTTAATGAATTCTGTGAATTGACCTCTAATTTTACAAGTTTAAATGACAGACACGGACGAGTTTTACCGTAATCTATTTTATCAGTATCAAGGACCCCAAAAACGTGGATTGTTTGATCAATGTTTCCAGGGACGTTAACTGCTATGATCATGACATGTATTTTTCACGTATTTTCTGCTTCAAATTAATGCAGGGTTTGTTGTTTTTTTTTAACTTGTTTTTACAAGTTGTCAAAAACAGCTTCAAATATTTCTTTAAATATTTACCACGGTTAAAACAAAGGACAATTAAAAGAATGGCGCATGTTCGTTGATCGCTCAGAATTTCTGAAAATTGCGTGTTGGACAAACTGAGCGAGACAAATAGATTTTTAAGCGGCTGTCCAAGTTAGTACGAGAGAGCGGCTGCTGGTGCAGCGATAAGACTCACAGCGTGTTGACTACATGGACGTATTGGAGTCTCGGCACGGGAAAAATATTTCCGGTTGAAAAGATGTTTGCATGTTTATGTAGTTGTATAATATTGCAGAGCCATTACAAATAATGCGGGAAAGTATGGGTTAAGGTAGCACCTTAGTTTCGACAGGAGGGACCCTCAAAACACGTTATTTTTGCCGGAAAACGGCCTTTTTTCGCTGAATCATAAAATAAAGTTCTCTGTACTACGCAGTAGTGTACTTAAAAATAATAATTAAATAATAAAAATAAATATTTGAAATAATTGGGAACTATTGTTGAAAATATATCAATATTTCCATGCAGAAAAAGGAAATAGTTTCTGAATTAGTATAGCCACAATTTTTAATTTCTATGAACATGGACATTTTGTGATGCGTTAGTTTTTCTCCATCTTGAGTACACAACGTGTAAAAAGTGAATACAAACGTGGGATAATCTACAAGTGCATTGGTCCGTGGCTTAACGGCAGATGTGGTAAATAATCACGGACGACATAAGGAAAAACGCATAGCCGGAAGAGCGTCAGAAACCACATCCGATGACGTCACCCGAACATCGCTCCCGGGGCATCATGGAAAATCCAAGAGAAATAAAAACTTTCCAACTTTCTTTCTCCGTAAAACGGACCTCGTGCCAAGAAACCCTTCTTTCACGGCAAAGTACAAAAGTGTTTTGCAAATACGCTGTTCCGAAAATGCTTCGAGTACTGCTAAATTTGAAAGGCAAATTTACGTTGATCGTGTCCAAAAGACATTCTTTGCACCTTGTAGCAGCATAGGTTTGCAGTTATTTTAGTCTTTAGTCCTTTTAACATGAAGTCGGCTGTTCGTGTTTTTGTAGAATATATGTACGAAATGTGTGTCATTAACTCAAGAATTGTGTGTGACGGAGGCGGCATGTCAGATAAAGCCAGTGAATTCACCTATTTTAGCGTGTTTGACATTTTTCTTTTATTGAATTTATTTTGGGTTCTTTCTTTATTCAAAACAACTACTTCGACTTCTCGTTTTCGAAATGTGCGTATTCCTTTGGATTCATTTTCCCGAGCCCTTCAGCAGAAGCTTCATATCCAACCCAGCAGATGCGGCACTGAAGCATAGCACGAAAACCTTCACTGTAAGGGAATGGTTACTATGGTAACAATAAGCAAATAAATTATCACGGACCTTCGGCCAATCCAAGCGTCCTGCGCAGTATTTCATACATAATGCAATGCAATCAAACTATCGAATTAAATCGACAACACATTAATAAATTAAAACTGGGGAGCATTAAACGTTTTCAATAATTTTCTAACTAGACCACTTCGATTATTTCAAAATGAGGAAGAGGAAGAAGAATGGTTGATTATTGCGTGTTCCGATGCACGTCAACCATTGCGGCTATTAGTCCCGTAGGTGCGGTGTATGTTTATAACGCTCGGTACGTTTGTTCCGTGTAAATGAACGCAGACGCCGAAACATTCCACTCCGGAGATGAGAGTTCGGACGCGGGCGAAATTACTCTTTTCTACCTCCGAACACGTTTGGGCGAATGGCGCGTAATTTCCACAGTCTAAGTGAGCATAAAACCGAATTGTGGCACTTGTAGTTTGCACCCTAGAAAAAGTAAGAAACTTTATAATTATAAGTTTAAAGAAAGGAGAAAAGAGGAAAGCATGGTTCCAAAATACACAAATTTTAACTTATATTATTTTAAAATTTGTTCAATATTACACATTAATATTGCAGACGCTAGACACAATTCACTTCCATGAAAACGCACTTTAATAATATTGATGGAGCTATGGCTTGAATAATGAAGCATTTTATATTTGTTTTCGTTAATAATGTTAATTTTATGATTTTAAATGAATTGTATTAACTCTCAGACATTTCTGCTCAATACAATAGTTTTTACGTAAATTAACATGTTTTGTTAAATGTTAATTGATATTTTTTAGAGTAATTGTGACCTTTTCGCAGACCTAAACAGGAGAAATACGGGATACACAAGAAAACTGTAGTTCTTTCCGTTCTTGTAAGAACAACAATTTAAAATAATTAAATTTAATGAAAGTGATGAAATTTACATTTTTCAATTCATGAACCAGTTTTCAGAAATAGTATCCGATTTATTGGTCGGCTATGTGTGTATGTTTTTCTTTTAAGCACAGATAAAGATTTAGCACCATATTTCGACGCTTATCTTCTATTCTGTTTACTGTGAAAAGTAAATCCAGTCACTTGTTCATACTGCAATGCCATTACAGATACACAATAACCTCACTTGGGAAGGCTGCCTCAGCAACGATCATGGTCGACAGAAGAAACGTTCGGAGGGCGAGCTCGCTCAGTGTAAACGGCTGGTAGCATTCGCCCCGCGATCATCCGCCGAACGAACGAGCCTCGTTTAGAATCGCTTGTTCGCGCAGGATAAACGCACCTTTATCAAGCGAAACTAGAGTTTAAAGCAGAGGCTCGAGAAAACCGTGGCTCGGACCTCGTCTTAGAAATCCACTCGGGGTGTTGTAGCGTAGTGTGAGACTCTCCACACGACGCCACTTAATTTTGTATTCATTTCTCAGAATGCAATCAATTCATGTAGGTAGAACAACCAACCGCACAATATTTTTGTCGTTTGCTCACTCAAAGCGGCAAAAAGTCGGTAATCGATAATCCAGGAGTTGATGGCGACCACGGTAGTTAAACCGAGCAGTGTGCGGGACCCAGGCGACGCAAGGAGGTGGCGGATCCCTCAATAGGCGCTTCCCCAGCGCCCTCACAAACCTCATGATTTCGGGACAACAGTTGAAGACTTCAAAATGAACAGATATTTTGCAATTAACAATATTATTAATAACGAGAAATATAATTTAATTTTTAATTTATACATTACATAATTGCATTTCTCATTGATGTTTATTGCGTAATGATCTAAATTTACGTAGTTTTCATTCATAGTGATGTACGTTGCTAATATTTCATGTAATACTTTTCTTACATAAAATAAATATTTTGGGGGGTAATGAAATAAATATAACAAATTGAAACAAATAATTAATTATATTTCAAAATTGTTCATGCATTTCCAATATGAGTGAATAAAAGCTAAACAGATAAACTTATTTATGTGAAGTTCCGCGGTATTCCGAAGCGAACTCCGGAGTTACTAACGATTTCGATAAAGTTTTACAGGAGCGTTTTGGTGTGGATTGAGACATTTCATACGATGTCACTTAATTTGAGTAACTTTTCCCGACGGCAATACAATCCAGAACAACCGCTGAACCCGCTTTTTTCGTTTGCCCTGGAAAAGGGACCGGATTTACCGGCGGCGACCGGGGTAGATAAACTGGGAAGTGCGCGGCACCCAGGAGTTTCAAGGAGGTGGCGGTGCACTCCCCCAGTGCGAGCGGGCCGGGCTAGATGCGCGGATGTCGTCGGGTGAAGAGGGGACTATACGGAGATAGCAGGTCGAACACGCGGTGGACAACCAGTGGCGGATCCAGGGGAGGGCATGGCAGCCATGCCCCTACCCCACCCCAAAAGAGAGAAAGACGTTTGAAAGACATTTTTTTGACAAAAATTATTTAAATATTCATTAATGTTAGAATTATGTAATTATTTTAAAAAACAACATTGTATAGTATCATATATACGTACACTACCAAAATGTTCATTATTTACAACATATGTTCATTATTTAACAAAAATCTATTATACACCCCTCCCCCCGAAAATGATAAGCTGGTACCGCTCCTGGATCTCCGAACGAGTCCTAGCTACGCTCATCTAGTGGGAGAAATGCTAACTCCGCTAACCGGCACTATTCCAGTCGTTTTTGGTTACGTTCATGTATAGTACATTATTTACTCACTTCCTCTAACACACTGAGTAGTCTGAACCCATGTTTTGTTGGCCATCGATACCGAAAAAAACGATTGACGGAAAAACGTCTGTCTGTCTGTCGTCAACACTACCGCCTAAACCAGGCATGTCGCGGCAAGGTAACAAACTTACTAGAGCTCGTGGGCACAGCGTCCAGAAAAATTGGCGCGAGATTTAAAAGTACGGGTTGTACAAATCGCTACGGAGTGGCGGTACGTCACTAAATTCCAGCCCCATGACATTTACGAGAGACGAAAGAGACGAGACTTACTAAAGCAATATGAGTTAAAATGAAATAATACGTCAGTCAAATTCATTTTCGTTAAAAACCCTGTTTTTTAAAAAATTGCAAAAGCGCAAAACGTTTTTTGAGTCTTCCTACAACTACAATAGTAAAGATTTTTCTCTTGATGAAATCTGTTCCTTAAAGATAGATTTTGAACAAGTACAATGTTTCGAAAATTTCAGTACTTTTCCGTGCAAATACGGGGAAAAAGTACGTGCTGTTTTAGCAACACTAGTTTCTTTAAATGTTCTCCTTGTGAATCAAAACAAAGTTAGAAATTGGTGATGGTCTCATTTGAGGAGAACTTTGTATTTTCGAAGACTGCAAAATTTTAACATTTCAAAACAACAAAATTTGAAGATTCAGATTTTTGTTTTAGAAAATCTGTACGAAAACATAATCTCTATAAAAATGTCATTAAAATTTTCTGTAAAGACGAATGGTTTTTCAGTAATTTGTGCTTGAAATGAATGTAGTTTATAAAAAAAACATTTTCTCAAAAACCGCTCCAAATTTTGCATTAATTTTTTTCCACTGATAAAACAAGAGACCTTAAAAGAATGGCACGGACCTCATTTTCATTCAACCCTCTAAATGTTCGAAAATTGCAAGTTGGAAATAATAGGAGAGAGACTTAGATTTTTGAGCGTCAGAGCGAATGCATGCCTAGGGATGCGAGAAAACGCACGGCGAGGTAACACAATGGACCTGAGTTGGAGCCTCGCCGCTGAAGAGACATTGCTGGTTGAAAATCCTTTTGCAGGTTCATGTAATAGTAGTAGAGTATAATATTGCGGAGCTGTTACAAATAATGCGAGAACGTACTGTTGTAGCACCACTAGCTTAATTAACGACTGTTTTATTTCTGTGACGGCACTGGAACTGTAATGTGGAAATTCAATTTTCTCATGAATTCTATTCAAAAAGGCAGAGGAAGCATACTTGTCATTTATTTTTAATTAAAATTATGGAAATTAGATTGGAATTCGATACAAAGTTTAGGTACTCCGTTTTTTAGTTGGGCATAAAGAGCCCTATTATATTTTCAATAGAAATAAATCTAAAGCAGAAGTAAATTAGATGTTTCATACAGTATTGTCAAAGAAGGTTCAGTGTCAGTTTATCAGATCAAGGAATCCCGGATCTTATATCGTCAACGTAACGTCAGCGAATGTTAAGAAGTAGCGTCAAATATATCCGGAAACCTAACGATTCAGCTGTTTCCTGTGTAATACTTCTACGAAAATGGGAACATGTCGTTGACACTAAGAATGAAAACCATTACGAGGTACTCTCTCCAATTTGACTCATTAATTCTAGATATGTTGCAAGAGATTAAGGAAACCTCCCCTAAATTAATAACGGCAAACAATATTAAGCCCCAATAATTTAAACATATTAGATGATGAATAAGTGGTAATCTCATCGTCTGAACGTAATTTGGCAAAGTATTTTTTCCGCAATCATATTCCGTACAAGTAGTACTGGCCTGAGGACCAGAAGAACAGCTGTCTTAAATATAATATTCTGTAATTCTAAACTCGGAAAAAATAATCTACAAAAATATATTTCATTTCTACCGCTTATGTTGGAAATGAAAAGTTCCGAGACCGACATTTTTCATCCTGAATTGCTCAATAGGACGGCAGAAACCGGCAATTCGGATAGCCGAAAGCAATAACATGACTGCTGCCCCAGAAGTCTACTACTACAGGAATGAAGCGATCATGTACTATTCCTCTCAGACAAGAGTTAATAAAGACTTGGCATATTTAACAAATATGCTGACAAGAGGTAACAGAAGCTGTGCAATTTCTTGCGAAGGTGAATCACCACCTTTTCTGGGTCTCAGGCCACGGCAGTCGTACTTCGAGCGGAAGGGCATGGGCAGGCATAGGTGCGTCACCTCCGCCACTGCGCTTCGCGAGAAGAGGCGGCGCCCG